TGCTTTTAAATCAGGACTGAAACTGTACTATAAGAACGCACTATCGATCACGTATAACTGTGACGATCCTCGGACTTGGAAATCTGTCTGCGTTAAATGTAAAAGGGCTAGATCCCTTGATGGTGTTTTAAACTGTTGTTAATTGTCAGTTTAGCCGTTTTGTATTTGTGTTGTTATACTTTGTCTGTTTCGTTAATCAATTATTTGAACGTAATTTTTTATGTAAATATTAAGGGATCGCCGTAATTGGGGGAACCTGTGGCGAACTCCCTGGCACTACATTGTTGTATTTTTAGGTAGATGCCGAATCTTATTAAAACATTAAAACATTAAAACATTCTATAAAATATTATTACATTAAATATTGGTAAATACCGAATCGACAAGCCATCCTGGAATAAAGGAGCGTGACAGTGAAGTGGCAAGCATTTTATAGTCTTGGGGTTGCAGGCATTGCACAGGCATCAAAGTCCATAAATCACCAGGTGTAACATTGTAAGGTCCAAACTTTAGCATGGTGTCGTTGGTTTTCATTTTCCATTGTGGTGCCATGCGTAATCTCTGGAATGGTTCTGATACATTAGTTGTGTTGCTTGTTCTAAATTAAAAACAATTAAACTTTTTAACATTTCTATGCGAAAATTGCGCCCCGGTGGAGAAGGCTAGGTGGTTCGAACCCTCCTGCACCAGTAAATCCATTCCTGTTATGATGAGGTAACATGAATGTATGACCTACCTCAGCGGTCTTTTAACTACTTTTGTTGTTCTTTTAAGTGCACTCCCAGTTTCAGCTGAAGAGGTTTTCTACAGACAGACAATATATTCATGTTGTTTTAGACAATGCATGCATAAGAACAATGCTACTCGCTTCATTTTAAACTGCCTGAAAAAGATGGAATCGATTTCGAAATTTTACTGATAAACTTCAACAGTCTATTCCAGCGAGTGAGATTCCGGAAAAAAATGTGATATACCCTTACATTGAAACCTACCCACAATTATTCAATACCCGACCCTGATATTCTGTGATTAAAAAGTGATTGAAATACTGTATTTTGCAACAAGACTTACGCTTTTCCGATTTGCCTTTTGTTGGTGAACAGCATTGGTTCCATTGGCATTATTCTGAGTGTCATCCACACAAGTCGGGTCAATTACAAACGAATCTTTGTTCTTATCTTGGCGCTTGTATTTCTTCCGACGCTCTAGTTTTTTATAAAAAACCTTGTGATAATCTGTCGATGATAATTTAAGTTTCCTTTTTTGAGGAGAAAGTCGCAGACTGATCCCGCTTTTTACTTTGGTGTGCTTTCGCAGATCTTGGTGAACGTTTTCCAGCTTTTTTAGTGCATCATTGATGGCATCTTTATTGTCTACAAGGTAACTGATGTCGATGATTTCTTTAGACTCTTCTCGTAGTTGTTTCTGTAGTGTGCCAATCTGTAAGTCAGATAATTGCCTCGTATCATGTTTAATGCTTCTTTGCTCTTCTTGCTGCATTTCCTGTTCCAGACCAATTCCCGACTCCTCTTCTTTCCACTTGTCATGCCTTTCTTCGACGTCGCCTTCTTTAAATTCGTCGTCGTCGTGCTTTTCATCTTCTTTTGTCTCTTCTGATTTAGGCGGCTTTTCTAATTCGTTTTCTTCTTCATTGCCATATGTGGATGTTGTTTCAGAATCCATCGTTGGTTGTTTCATTTCAACTATCTCAGAATCTAGTGTGAGGAATGGGCTGTTTCGGTATGCAGAGGGTAAACTCTGGAAAGACCACTCTTCGTAATAATTGAACACAGCGTAGAAGTGTTTGCAAGGATAGTGTGATCTTTGCCACGACTCGCATGTGCAGCTGGGAATATAAAAGAGAATTGTATGGTGCTTGCCATACTCAGAGGAACTTCGTACTTGGAATATACCTTGTTGAGCATCTTGACAGACTATATCCCTATCACGGAATTCTTCTGCGGCGAACTGAGACTTTAGACAATGCTTGATAAAAATTGGTGGTCTGTTGTGCAAGTACTTTGGAATCATTGCATTGTAGGATCGATACTTGTCACTCAATTTCATGTTCATATTGCGGTAAGACGTGTATGATTCTGGGATGAATGACTCCACCAACATCGTTGCAATTCCATAAACAGACTTGTCAATCGAATACGGAAGGTAGTTATACTTTAGGAGACGATTTTGAGCTTCAACGCCGTTGTTGGTATTTACGACCTGATCTACTTCGTGAATGCGGAATGCACGTGCCCAACGAAATGAACATGAAAGCCAGGTGTTCTCAATGTATTTCTGCACATTTTCTTTCTCATCGTATAACGGCAGATCTCGTAACTCTTCAACCGCATCTTCATAATCCTCTTTTGTCTTTGCGTCAGCAATCTTCTTAAGGTAGTGCATAAGCTCCTCTTGCTCGTTTTGCGTTAGCCCATTCTTGGACTTTCGAACCCATCGTTGCCATGCTTGCAAGCGGTGAAAATCACAAATATAAACTACAGATTTTGGAAACTGCTCTTCTACTGCACTTATTTCTACGCCAGAATAATCAAGCATCCAGGACAGAGGTGACCAATTTGGATTCCATGATTTCAAGATTGCTAAAGCTTCCGATATTGATTGGTGATTTTCATATTGGGTGATGAACTCGGCTATCACCTTGTAACCAGCGTTTGTATTCACGCAAATGAAAAACAACGGAAGAGCGTATTTCGTTGCCTTGTAAGTCGCATCCATTAAAACTAGCTTAGATCCGTATCTAGCTAGCAGCCTTTGTTGCCACGGCTCTTGATGGACAAACAAAAAGGTGACTTTTTGACTCTGCTTGGGCTGTTTAACTTCGTCAATTGGATTACATGGACGGTAATAAAAATTTGTTTCTGGAGTTTCTTCTTGCCAGGTTTCAATCTTTCGTCTCAGCGCTTCTTGGTCATCTTTGCATGTTTTCATGGCAAAAATAGAGCGGGCTATGTGGTTTTGCAGATCTTTCTTGGTGGGGTAAAACTTGCGATTGGTTGGCTCGGGTATTTCATCTTCTGGTGCATTTTCAAAAAGTTCTTTTTTGACGTATTCCTGCAGAAATCGTTTCACTTCGTTAGTATTTGTGATGTTTTTTTTAACTAGATCATCCACCTTTGCAATAATCTGATTGTCGACTATCTGGTGAATACGGGCATTGTCACCGATAGGATGACCCTTGTGCGTGTTTAACAGTGGAAACCTCACAAAATGACATATCTTGAATTCTGGCTTTTTTCCTTTTTCTAGATCGCCCTTTAGCGTAGAAATCATCTTTTCTTTTCTGGTTCTCGCCATTCTTTCTGACTTACAGTCATTCAATTCTACTGAATAATTGGAATATACCTTTACAGTGCGTATTTGAATCTCTGCAGGGCAATTTAATTTCCGTGTTCCTTGCAAAAAAATGCGGGTTTTCGGGCAGCTATAGTCATGTTCAGTCGCTTCTTCACGCTTCCAGCCTCCACGTGTATCCTAAAATTAATGATCTAGAGGTTGGGTATAGCATACTTTTATTCTCTTCTTGGCCATATTATCATGTATAATTTAACTTATGTCGAATATCAGGCTGAAAAACTGTTTTTATAACCATTAATTTATTAGGGGAAAGTAACGAAATTTAATTACCGCGTCGTAACGTTTAATATTTCTCTTTTATAAAGTACTATATTGTAGACGTTACCTAAACAGACAACCTAAAATTATCGTGTTTTGTGATCGGTTTCATTAAAAAATAGTGACAATAAATATACTTTTCCTGTAGTTACGTTACGACTACGCCGTTTCTAACCTAGGACCGCCTTAAATGGAATGGATTTTAAGTTTGTTTCTCACGGGCTATGGTCAGAGGAGCAGAACAAATTTACAGGGGCGTAGGAACTGCTCCCCCCCCCCAATCTTTTGATGCTTCCTACGCTCCTGCAAACTTAAAATCCATTCCATTTAAGGCGGTCCGGAAAGGTCTATTGGGTATTTTTGAATTACACCACTTAATTACCCTGACTGGCTTGCCCCTTAATTACCCTGAAACCTAAAGGATGTATATATCAAGGCCAAAATACGTATACATCCTACTGTTTGCTGAGCCATGCGCAGGATTTTTTCCACCAGGTAGCGGTAAGGCATATATGCCGAAAAAAGTCGTAAATATAGTTTTCGTTAATGGGGGGCAGTTGCCCCCACCCCCTGCTGTGTACGGTCTCGACTGTTTGTCGTACCTTCGTTGTTCCATGTAGGCAGTGTCTGCTCTCCGAACCAATTATCTCGAAAGGCGATCCAAAGAAGTTTATGGGAATATTGCCGCCTTTGTGTTCCCATATCGGCGATGCTATAAAAGTCCAGTCAATATCAAAATGGTTAATTGTGAGGAAATAATTAAGATTATCAATTGCATGCATTTCATGTACATTACAGGTAGGTTTCTGGCAATGTGATAAAAGGTACAACAAGAGTATATTTGAATTTAATCAACGAGTTGATTATCGTATTATTCTTATATAGAACGATTGAATGACGCAAAACGACTGGGCTACCAAAAGTGCAAACACCAAATATATGATTTTCTCAGCCCCCCCCCCCCCTTACTTTATGACCCGTTTCTCAGTTTACGTACTTGATCCCGTATATATTGCGTTTTCATTGTCTAACGTCCACAATGGTAAAAGAGTGTCTAGATGGGGGGAGG